GTACATGACTCTTGAAATATGTGCAGTTCTTTCCTTTATTTTTTTAGCAGCTTGAAACAACACCAATTTATGTTCTGTACTTTCTAAGCCTGACGTGGTCTCCGTGGCTGAAGTCTAGGCTGAGTTTCCTCTGGAGGCTCCAGGGACAGCCTGTCTCCTTGCCTCTTCTACCTTCTAGAAGTCGCCCGCATTCCTTAGCTCATGGCTGCCTTCCTCCATCTTCAAGGCCATCAACAGTAGGTTGAGTCCTTCTCACACTGCATCACTCGGACCCAATTGTTTCTTTAGAGAGATACAGAAAAAGGGAATTTTGTGAATATTAAGGTATGTGCTTTTTATATTTTAATAGATCCTGCCAGATTGCCCTCAAAGATGTGTGTTTCCCCATACCCTGGCCAACAACCATGTATCTTTTGAATATAAGGCCTACTATTTTGTAACCCCATTGCCTCACAACTGCAAAGAGGAGAAATGTCTGAGGTGGGCTTTGAACAGGAGTGGGATTTAGACACGTTGCTGGTGAGGGTACTGAGTGTGTTCTATGTCACAGGCCATATACTTTCAGTTCATCTCTGTTAGGAATTGTCATTGACCGGAGAAGACTAAGGAGACATGAAGTCTAAGTTAAATGCAAGTTCTGGATCAGACTATGAAACAGACAAAGTTTCTGGGAAAACTAGTGAAATCTAATAAAGTCTGTAGTTTAGCTAACTATATTGCACCAGTGTTATTTTATTAGTTGTGACAAGTATACCCTGGTTGTTAGCATTAGGAGTAGCTGGGAGAAAGATATACAGGAACTCTCTGTACAATCTTTGCAACTTTCCTGTAAATCTAAAATAATTCTAAAAAACTTATAAAAGACTTGAACATGGAATAAAATACAAGGTGGAGACCATATTTGGATCCCGTCTCAAGAAAACCAGCTATAAAAATGTTTTATTTTTTGTTGTTTTTTGAGAGAACAGCAGAAAATTGAAATATGGACGGGTATTAGATATTAAAATTGTTAGGCATGATACGTTTATGAACCAAAATCATCTTGACCTAGTGAAGGTGTATACTGAAGTATTTATAGGTGAAATAATACGATAGCTGGTATTTGTTTTAAAGTATTCAGAAAGAAAGAAAAATTTTTATGGGTAAAGTGATATAACTTCCTGAGTTTACTTTAAAATACTCTAGAAAAAATGTAGTTGGGGAAAAAGACAAAAACAATTGGCAAAACGTTAACTCATTGAAGCTGGGTGAAAGGTACATTGGAGGCAGGGGGTGTCTATTCTCTGTATTCTTATGAATAATTAAATTTTTTCATAGAACAAAATAGATAACACTGCTCCGTGGATGTTTGCCGGGAGCCATCTGCGCCCCAGTATGACATGGCCAAACACACTGCAATTGTGACAAATTCTGAAGCTCTGAGAAACAGATACTGCTTTATATCTTAAAGAATTTAAATTCCCCTTTGGATGCACCCCAGTGGGACGAAGATCTTACACCCCTTCTAATAGATATATCACAATAATTATATTTTATACACTAAAGGTGATTTTAGTCACACTACTAGTCTCTTAGTAAAGGTCAAAGTACACACCCTGTAAATCTTAAGATCCCGTTTAGACAATAGTTTTTAGAATAATGTTGGGTGGTCATGGTAACCATCCTTTAGGTGATTATGTAAAGGCTCAGGCCTTGGTCTCAGTCATTGAAAGTGGAGGGATTTGGGCGTAGTTGGGTTAAATTAGTCTTTAGCATAGAAAAGGTATAGCTGTACCCTGGAGCATAAGAATTATGAGGAAGTAAAACCCTGATACTAATGGAACAATGGTTAAACTGCCCGGTATAAAAAGGGGCATGCTGTAAAATAAAGTGAGACACTTCTTCTTGAGAAAGCGCTCCTGTGTCTCTGCGCGTTTTTTCCTTTTTCCTCGCCGACTCCGCCTCCACCTGAGGGAACCCCTGGACCTGCGGGAGCTGGTCTCCCGCAGATGTTAGTGACTCCCCCTTCTTTATTCTCATAGGACTTTTTCACACCTTGATAGCATTTCCTGTGTTGTTTTACACTGTTCACAGGACCTGTCTCTCTCCTTTCTGGTCTGAAGGCTCCTCCTGGCTATTTTCTCTCTGCATCAGCTGCATTCACTCCAACAAATACTTGCTGAGCGAGTATGTGTACCGGGCCCTGTGACGCCTATGGGACGTGATGGGTAAAAGCAGAGATGGCTGCTAACACATTGAACTTCTAGTCCAGGGGGCTCAAGGACATTACATACTACGCCAGTAAATGTAACTGCTACTGAGTGTTCTGTGGGAGAGAGCTGGTATCCTTTAAAATTTAGCCCATAAACAAGCACACAGACAGATACGAGTGAGCACGTGATGTTGCAGCTCTCAGGGCTGCCGTCTGGAACGGCTAGTCCTTCCTCCCCACAAGTTCCCTTTCAGCAGCGGGCGAGAAGCTAAGCTCTCATACCCGCTCCTTTCCCTTCCAATTCAACAAGCCACGACTCCTATTTTATTTTTGGCTGTTTCAAACCCTCTGCCCTTAGAAGCATTTTCTAGCTTCTAGATGCTTGCAAGCACCTAACCCTTCAGCTGTTTGTCCTTCTATTAGATGACCCAGGAAAGTTATCACAGGTCTCACAGCCTTTTAACCAGATGTTAAATGCTCCCCGCCCTCTCTCTACCCTCTGAATCTGAGTTTCCATGACTGAGAATACAGATGGCCAAACCTCCCTCCCTGCCCACTTGCCATGCATCTTCAGGCAGCTGTGCACATGGCTGCATGCCTGGCTGCTGGAGCTGGAGCAAGGAATGGGAATGGAATTATTCTGCAGTGAAAAAATATAGGCAAGCTTCTGACCTGCGAAGGAATGCTGCCTGTGGAGTGATGTTGCGGAATGGCCACAGCTCAACTCTGCACAAGGCGCTCCTTGGGGCACTTGATCGCTTAGCAACCAGGCTGCACGCACAGAGGCTCCTTTTCTGTTCACAGCAACCTCTTCAAATTTTCTGGAGGAAATCATTGAGTACGTGGCTGCAGCCTTGGGGACATCCTGAGCATTCCCCACCTTAGTACAGGCTACTGAATAGCCTCCACACTGCTTCTCCTTAACTGTGCAGTGATAACAGAGCATAGACTTGGGAGCCAGACTTTGCTTCCAATACAGTTAATGGTTACTAGCTTTGGGGCCCTGGGCAAGTTATTCAACTGCTCTATGCCTGTCTCCATCTGCAAATCAGGGAAAAATAACAGCATCTACTTCACTGAGTTAATATTAAATATATATATAAATACAGTATCTTGATATAGGATGCCTTGTTTGCTGCCATTGCTATTAGGGTTGAAAATCGTTAACAGGGGTCTAGCCCAGACTGAGGAGACCCAGCCTTAATTTCATCTTTCACTTCACTTCCCTCCTTATGCACGGAGCACAGACTTCCTTCAGTGTGAATCTCTGTAATTGCCCCTCACACTCATGTATGTTCTTTACCTGTTGTATTCCCAGCAATGCCTCCAGGAAGCAGTCCATAAAAATCTAATGAAAACTAAAGTCGTGAATGAAGGCCTCTCCTGATCTTCCTGATCTGCCACTCCTGACTTCCAAAGTAGTTTGCTAAGGAGGTTAACACATCGTTAAATGACAAGGATTACTTTGAAAACTTTACAGAACTTTTGGTAAATGCTTTGATAGTTCTGCTTTTAAGGTAGTAATATAAAGTTGCTAAATTTGTTTTATATCCTTGTCACATTTTGAGACATTTTGATTCAGTTTAACATTAGAACTTAATCTGTGTTTGGTAGACATTTAACATCCATACAGTGAGGTTAAAATTATGCTAACTATAATTCTGCCACTGCTATGAGTCAAGGAAGAAGTTACAATGAACTGGATTTGAAAGGCTGTGCTCACTATGGGCCAGGTCATTTCTGTTCACAGGCCATTTCTCACCAGACCCCGAATGAGAAAGAACAGCCTGAAGCTTGGTGAAATGGTAACAGGGTGGTTCCTTCTGCCACAATTTGGAGATTATGGGTAGTCTCTGGAAATCATTCTGATTAGAAAATGAATATAAAGCTGTCACCTATTCAATGTAGAGTTTAGTAGTATTCTAAAAGTAATGTACACATTTGTGACTTTCATGATGGCTAAGGGTATCTTCTATGTAAGTGAGACATGGGATTCTCCCACTTCTGACCTGATTAAACCTGAGCAATGATACTACTGTTGTTTAGAAAATCTGGTATTACACAAAATAAGTCCCTAAACTGAAAGCTCAAAAGATTTTGTTTTTAAGTCTCTGTTAAAGATGCCCAGGTTGGTAAATCTGAATTTTACCTGTCACACTGTAAATATCAACACCACATTTTTCTTTTTTTTAAAAGGTTTTATTGGGGAATCGGGGAAGGGGAACAGACAAGTTGCTGTCCTTTTGTTCTTCAGTCTAGTTGTGGAGGACATTGCTTCACTGGCCCATGTTGGTATTAACATTGCGTTCTTCCCGGGTGAGGCAGATTGATTGCCGGCTTCTGGACGGCCGCTCATGGCGGCTCATGGCAGCTCACACCGGCTGCCGGCCGCTCACGGTAGCTTATGGCAGCCCACTGCAGCAGAGGCTGCAGCCTATGCCGTCGCCAGCTCCAGATCGAGCTGTTGTTCACCATCTTAGCTGTAGAGGGCAGTGTTACTGGCCCTCATGTGGGATCCGAACCGGGGCCCTCCTGCTCAGAGCTGGCATCCCAAGCCAACTCCTAACCATCGCGCCACTGGGCAAGCCCACCACAGACATTTTTACAAAAGGAAGTTTATTGGTCTTTAAATGGCTCAAATTGCAAATAAACCAGTCGGGTAGTGGCATCAGCCTAAGACATGTGATGCATCTTTGTCAGTTGGCTTCATAGCACCTCAGTACCCAGGAGAGGAAAGGTCTCAAAGCAAAGTGACAACGTTAGTGGTTAGGACCCCTGGTTACAGAAGACTGCAATGAGTACACAGGGAGATCGCTGGACCCGTGGGCGGGCCAGGGTTACATTGGTACTTTAATTCTGCACATGGCATAGTCTATGAAAAGTACGACATGAAAAATGTACATCTCAAACCCTTTACGAACAAATACTTAACATGACAAGCTGGATGTAATATCTAAAGAGTTGAGGTTTCTAAAAAGCTTATTTCTGTTAACTTTACATACACATCTGTTACCTGGAATGCCTGAACACATCTTTGATTTACTGAAACGAGGACTGAACAAAAAGAAAGAAAAGCTCTGTGAATCAACTTTTAGCTCCATTCCAAAGAAAAGAAAAATCTGACAGTGGTGGACTTTCCAAATAGCATGCTAGCATCCTTCCAGCCGGCACACCACAAAACAGTGACACAGCTGAGTGTGATCTGTGCACAGAGAACGTGTTTTCTGCACTGGACTCATGTATGACTGCTTGATGTTAACTTTAGGAAACTGTAGCTACAGCGTTCTTCCTTATGAACACAGGCTACAAACACTAATAACTATCTCCTGTATAGCCAACTGTAACCTCATGAGTATACATTTAAAAATTAACAGGTAGCAAGCATGAATATTTTCCCAAAGTGTTCTAGTGCAAAATGCATTAGCATTATTGCTGCTTTTCCTGGGCCTGCTCCGAAGAGATAAAAAAACTGAACACATGATTAACACCTGCAGAAAGGGATTACCAGGGACCAGCATCTGAAATAAAGAGAGGGCTCACTGAAACAAGTGGTGCTGAATCCTTGGTCTAAAATGATCTAACAAGTAGACACTGCCCTGCATTTTAAACCACCACATAGTTAATCAGAAGCAATCAGGAGCTCTGGAACCTTCTTTCAAGAACCAGAGTATGGCACACATTTTATATTTGGATAGACTCCTAGCAGTTATTTCTCAAGAATCTTCTGTACAAAAGTTGTACTCTATACGAGGCATATACTGTCTCACCAGGACACACAGGGCAACGGGCCCATGGCGCCAGTGAGGCCACACCCAGTATGATGTGACTGGGTATTTTTCAGTTTCTAAATTAAGGCATATTCAAAAACTTCCATGTGCAAGTTTACACCACTTTTCTAACGTAATCGCCAGGTAATTAACATAGGCTCACAGATGAATTACTTTCAATTTAACTATATGCAACAATCATGCCAATAACTTTTCTTCTCTATTTTGCATAGCAGTGGTTTAAAAAAAGTGGTACAGTTTATCATGTTCACAATTGTTATTTTCAAGGCAGTAGAAGACCAAGACATTTTAAAATGATATAAAAATTTGAGCTTTATAATAAACCAGAGGAAGTAGCCTTTCCTCCCATTTGCCACCCCATCTCACCTTTAACAGAGTAAGACTGCCCTCAAAACACAAGCTCAGACGTTACATTCAGGACCGGGATAAATGTAGGCAAGTATGAAATAAGCTGAACTTTGCTTCTTGGTGAAGCCACGTTAATTTCTTTTTTTAAAATGAATTTGACTTTCAGTGCAGTTCCAATTCATGCTTTTAGTGATACATAACAATTTCCAAAATATTAAAGTAATTTCAGTCAATTGAGCCTTCAATGGCAATGCTTATAAATTATATTTATTAGTATGGTCAAGGTAAGAAAGGAGTTTGGGCTTTTATTATAAAATGCAGCATCTTTCTCTGATTCTCTTGGCTAAACTTTTCCTCTTCTTTTTTCCATTCTTTTCTTTGCTGTCTTCCATCTTTCTGGCTCGAATTTCCCTCATTAAATCAAAAAATACCTAGAAAGAAGAAAAAAGGGTTAAGTAAAGCAAATATAATAGAGACTTAGTAGTTCTCAGAATCACAGAAGTAAACTTTGAGAATAAGAATAAATACTGGGGTGCCAAAAAAATGTCTACACATTTTAAGAGATGTTATCTATGTTATCTATGTACTACTTTTCGAAGTCAAATTGAATTACAGCAGCAATGTGCAGTATAATGTTCGTTCAAAAGATGGCATTAATCAAATGATTGCTAGCTTCACCATGCGACAGGCAGGACAAAGAAAATGGCGGAAGCATGGTTGTCATTCGAGGAGCACAAGACCATTCTGAAGCCGTATTTGAAATTCGATAATGTTGTGGAAGTACAACGACAACGGAGGCGTGAGTATGCAAAAGAACCTCCAACATGCCTAACAATTACAGGCATTCATGATAAGTTTGAGACGCACGGTACTGTGTGTGATGTGCACAAGGAAAGATTTGGGAGGCCTTGCACAGCAACAAGTCCAGCTTCTTCTGCTGTGGTGTTGGAACAGTTTACATGTTCGCAACAGAAGTCTACCAAACAATGTTCACCGTAATCAGAAGTGTCTGGGCGCTGATGTTAACCACTCTGAGCACCTCTTGTAATTGCAGAAGTCAAATGTGACTTGTATTTATCTTTCGTTATTGGTATATATTGAGTATTACCATTTTAATACAGTTTTTTGCTTTCTTAAAATGTGTATACATTGTTTTGGCACCCTCTGTATTTAAGAGTTCTTATTTGGAGAGTATAGGGAGAAGAAAACACAAAACTAAAGTCTACTTCTTTAAGTATACTGGGAAAATTGTGCAATTTCCTGAATTATAACTTTTTGGTAAAAATGTTCACATAGTATATAACCTGATCTTTCCATCCCATTTTTTTTTTTTCAGTTTATAATGTTTTACTATGATTTAGATATTTTCCCCAAAAAGAACAAAATTTATAGCTTAAAAATTCAGGTATCAGAAAGACTCAAAAGGCTGTTTTTCACTTTGTTCAAGTTTTGTTTCCAGGCATTAAGCGTGTCATACAGTTGTTGCCACTGCTGTTTTCCAAATGGCCGATGTGTGCTATGACCGACAACTACTTTTCTCTGAGTCTGATCAATTTTGCTGTAGACCATTTTTGTTTCCACTGCATCAATTACAAATGCTTCAACATCATCAGCTCCAATCTGAAGTTCTTGTTGCATTGTATCAAAAGAAATTTCTTTATTTTCCACTGCCATTCCCATAAAAGTAAGTAGTCTCACTTTTGCCATATTCTGTTCATGTAATAACCCAAGTGAATCTATGAAGTCTTTATTATTCTGATAAAACTTGACATATGATGCCCATTTAGCACTCACGAAAATGGTTAAAAGATCATGAATAAGCTCGCCTTCCAAAAACTTGACTGGTTTTAAAGTAAGAAGATGGTCAAAAAGAAAAGCATCTGGATCTTTCAATGCTCGTACAATACACCTGTGGGCATCAACTTGAGCCTGGGAAGCACTATCCTCCATGTAACTTCCTAGCAATTCGACCATAATTTTTGAAGCAGCATCACTTTTCTTATTATCCACAAGTGCCTCATAAAGTAGCCTTAAAAGGGTGTGTTTTATTTCAGTGTTGAGATTCCGGTCAGAAATCCATTTCCTAACTTGATCCAGCTCAGCTGGAATATACTGGATGGCCCCACAAGATGCTGCCACTTTAATAAGGCTGCAATATACTGTGTATCTTACAGGAGTGTTCTTATCCATTCCATGGAAAAGGCTGCTTAGCAACTGCAGTCTCAGAGATGGGCGTTCACCTTCCCGAAATTTGACCAACTTTTCACAGAGGTTTTCAATCAGAGCTTCTTGCTTATCCGGTTCCAGGATCAAACAGGAAGGATACCACGCTGTTCATCACACTCTCAACATCTTTATCATCTTCCTTCAGACACACATCACAGGCTTCAATAATGTGAGCTAAATCTACATGAAGTCCGCCTTCTGAGTTCTCTTCTGAAATTTCAGCTCCTTTAGATTTCAGGTAAGCGCGAAGCTCAGCAGCCTGATCTTCCTCACTGATGTCGATGAAAGCCGGGACGCTCATGGCGGAGGCCTGGGCGCGACAAGACGTTCCACTCGCAAACCACGCCGATCAGAAAAAGCCCATCACATTTTTTAAGATAAAAATAAAAAAAGCACTTCAAGTGATGACAGCTTCAAAGATAAAACTCAGTGGATTATGTCTAAATTATGAAAAAGCCTAACTATGGAACACTGCGGATTTTAAAAAGAACGTGGTTCATCTATATGTAACGACATGGGAAGAACTACAAGACCTATTTATTGTGTAATTTAAAAAGCAAACCACTGAAATCATCTATCTAGCTACATACACAGAAATACTACATAATAGATATATGCTATGTATTTATACACTATAAAATCCTATTTATACAGGGGAAAACAAGTGAACACAAGCTTTCCCTCAGATGCTGTATGCCTGCCTTTAAAACGCAGGCACACGTTTGGAAAGCACACGTGTTAGCTGTGGTCACTACAGGCAGGGGAGGGAGGGGAACCGGGGCGGAGAGGGACTCATGTTTTCCTCCTTGTACTTTTCCCACCATATCATGACTTTTTCTTTACACATAAGCATGTGTTCATGTACTACTTTTACAACGAAAAAAACAAAGATAATATTGAAGAGCCAGAGCATTTAGCTAGAATGGTACTAATAAGTCATCAAACGAAGCTGGCACCCAGTGCGTACACAGGCAGCTTTGTCAGGCGGTCTCTTAAGTTCCGGGGGACTCCTCTGTCACAGGCACAGCCTCCGAGACAGGCCAGGCCCCAGCCTGACAACTCTGACGGTCACAAAGCTTCTTCACAGGGAGGATTTACACTTTGCCTCTTTGAAGCATCTCCCCAATGGTCAGTCTATTTGGAACCCAGATGAGAATATGGCATCCTGCAGGGAGCTAGTGTTTGTTTTCTGTGACAAAACACGATCCTTTCCCATTAAATGGAAGGAGACAATAGGAACACTTGCTACCCTGGAGTATCTGTACCAGGCTTCTGTAGTGGATGACACATATTATGGGAGATACCAACCGCTGCTTAGAGCAAAATACTGAGGAAGGAAAATGGGTACCATGGTGGCCACTCCCAGAGCCTGCAGATGCCACCACAACCCTGGGAACTTGAACCAGGCGTGTAATCTCTCTACACTTCAGTTTCCAGTTAAAAAGCGAGCATGAGAAGAGTAGTAATGCTTCACAGGGCTAGAGATGAAACGATGAGTGCTTGCCACAGTGCTTGGCTCTTGTAAACTTTAACAAACACTAGGTCTTTTAACTGTTGTATTATTTCCTCAGCAAAAACAAGTAAACACACAAACACCATGAATATAACTGAATTCTAAAAACTGAATAGTAGCTGCAAGTCACTCGTCTGTAGCCGCTGAGGTCCTTCATGCGGCAGCCACTCTTCAGACTGCAGCAGTACAGGAAATTAGTTTCAGCGTGAACTTGTACCTCAGTTTATAAGCAGCCTCATGTAATGGAATTCTGCTCTGGAGAGGTGAACAATGATGCAGGCAGTATTTCCCACAATTGGCCACGGCAGCACTTTCGGTGTGCTTTTCCAGAATCTTCTCTCTCTAGCAAGAGGTGGAGTCTACGCCCCTTCCTCCTAAACCTGGATGGGACTCTCTGCCTACCTTGACCAGTGGAATGAGGTGGAAATAATGCCGCAAAACTTTGGAGGCTGCATTTTCATAAAAGACAGTATGTTTTCTGCCTGGTTCGTATTCACCTGTCACACTTGCTCTTGGAACTAACTGCCACCCTGCTGTAGAGAAAGCCTAAACCAGCACATGTGGAAAGAGTCACATGGCAGAGACGGAGGTGTCCCTGGACAACGGCCAGCAGCAGCTGGCTGAAGCAGACATGGGTGAACAAGCTTGTAAACCAGTTTGGATGCTTCCAGCCCCCAGACTTGAAGCTTTTCAGATGAAGCAGCAGGTCTGAGGGGCACAGACAAGCCCCTTTCACTGCGTGCTATCCAGATTCTGGCCCCCCGATTCCGTGAGCATATGTGGCTGTTTCACCCATTAAGTTTTGGGGTGTGTTTTGTTACACTGCCATAGTAACTAAAATAGCTTTATACCTTTATCTTTTCTCTCTCTTTTTTATTTTTTTTATTTTTTATTTTTATTGGGTAATTGGGGGGATGGGAACAGTGATGGGGAATTGGGGGAAGGGGAACAGACAAGTTGCTGTCGTTTTGTTCTTCAGTCTAGTTGTGGAGGACACTGCTTCACTGGCCCAAGTTGGCACCATCATTGCGCTCTTCCCTGGTGAGGCAGATCAGTCGCCGGCTTCTGGATGGCCGCTCACTGCGGCTGCTGCCCGCTCACGCTGGCTGCTGGCTACATATGGTAGCCCATGGCAACCCACTGCCACAGGGACTGCAGCCTACGCCGTCGCCAGCGACTCACGGCAGCTCCAGGTTGAACTGTTGTTCAGCATCTTAGCTGTAGAGGGCAGTGTTACTGGCCCTCATATGTGGGATCCGAACCGGGGCCCTCTGGCATCCCAAGCGAGTTCTTAACCATCGCGCCACTCGGCCGGCCCCTATCTTTTCTCTTTTGAAAAATAATACATGCAAGCGGCAAAAAAATTCAAACACAGAAGTCCAAAGAGGTATATACGGCAAAAAAACCCCCATATACCTGTGACAGTTCTCTGGGGACCATAGGTAATAGAGTCTACATACTCCTCGGATGTGCACGCGCGTGTGTATTTAAAACACGGGTGCAGCAGACTCAGACGCTGTTCTGCACTTTGTTTCCTCACTTTACATTGAAGGCCGGTCCCTACCAGCACACTCAAGCCTCCTTTCCTGTCTTTGTAACAGTGGTACAGTCCTCTGTTATACAGACACACTATAGTTTTAATCGGTCCATCACTGGAACATGGACATTTGGTCTTTTGTTTCTTCTACAAATAATGCTTCAATTACTACCACTGGACATACATTTCCGCACAGATGTATGATTTTATCTGTACATACATTTTTAGAATTGGATTTGTTGGGATCATAATTTTGATAGATGGTCAAAGTGCCCTCCAGAAACACATGAGAGTTACTGTTTCTCTATACTCTGGTCAACTGTATATTATCTACCTGTTGCTTTATTTTCCAATGTGACAGGTAAAAAAATGTCATATTTTAAAATTGCACTTCCTTTTTTATAAAGAGAGACGAAGATTCTTTTCAAGTTTAAGAGTGATTTGCATTTCTCTTCTGTGCACGCCTGTTTATGTTTTGGACCATTTGATATTGGTTTTTTCTTACTGTCCTGTGAGAGCTCTGATAAAGCACACCACCATACTTTCCAAGGGCCTCTGACACCTGCCAGCATATGACACTATAGGGACTGTTAGGAAGACAGCATCAGAGCTTGGACAGTTACTGTCCCCTCTCCTCCCTATGTCCCTTAATTCCAGTAGGTTTTAGAGTGAGCTCTATATCTTGCTCAAGACATCAGTTAGGAGGAAACAAAGTAGATACATATGCTAATGTTCAATGTTGCCTTTCAAAATCCCACACACACTGAACCTTAAAACATATTTTCATTAATACTTTCAAAAACATTTGCCGTAACTTTAGAAAAAACTGGCACACCGAGTAGAATTCTTGTAGCATTCATTTTGTACAGATTTGTTGGACCTATAGGAATCTGACCATGTGACTAAAACATTAAGCAGCTTAAGACAATAATGACACTGTCGCTGAGATCTACAGTAGATGAACAGAAAGAATCACTAATATTTTTAATCTAATGATGTCTGGATCAGGGTTATGAATCTACAGGTATACGCAGACCAGTTCACTAAAACCTGAGGATATTTTAAGCCCAGGGATCTGTCTTTATCAAGCTGTGTAGGCCATGTTTCAGTTAAGAGTTTGAGAGGGAGCTGATGGGCCTAGATAGTTGGGGGCTGAAAAAGGCCCCGCCTGGAGGGCTCTAAGCATCTGTGTAGCCTCAGCCCAGTGGGCAGTCTTCCTCCATACTGAAGATGGCCTCCGGCAGCAGGAGGTAATGCACCTGGAAGGGCTCCTACACACGAGGTGAGGGTGTCCCTCATGGTCTCCAGGGAGGGCCAATCTGAACAGAGTGGGAAGATAAAGAAAGACAGTAGAGCATTTTCCTTTCCACTCGGGGAATAACAGAGGTTCAGGGTGGAGAGTGTAGTTGTACTAACAGAGATTTGAAAATCCTCTAATCTAGGGCTCCTTCATCTTGGGAGGTACCTTCACGTCTGAAAACTTAAATGGGGTCAGGCAGTTCTCAGCTCTGAGGTTTTACACAATTCCTTCTAAATTATCTAGCCCATCAAGATAAGGGGGAAAAAAAAAAAAGCAGGAACCCTGTCAGTACTTAAAAAAAAAAAAAAAGTACATTTAGCTGCTGAGTCTCATGCTTTGATGTCTCCAGGAAACCAAGGGACAAGGTGAAGTCACATTTCTACCATGCTGAACTTGAGCATTCAGGGCTGATAAAAATCAACATGTGTTGAATGGCTATTTGAAAGTCTCACACCCTCCAGACAGAACAGCCTAGTTACAGCAAACAAACCTAGTGTAACCCCAGCAGTAAGCAGAGCAGCCTTTACCTTGTCAACATTAGCGCGCGTCTTAGCCGATGTTTCCACATAGTTTACATTCCACTGGTCGGCTCTGGTTTTCGCCTCTTCTACAGAAACTTGCCTTTTATCTTCTAAATCTGATTTGTTACCAACCAGCAGAAATGGAACATTCTCATCTTCTTTTACTCTTAAAATCTGCTCCCTGGATAAAAGAAAATGAGAGAGAAACATTAACATCACCTTACAAAGTTCTAGTACTGTCATCCTACTACAAATAAACTGAGGCACAGAGAATCTGTGTAACTTGCTCAGAGTCACAGTTAGGCAGAACCAGGATTTGCATCTGAGAACTCTTGCAGAGCACACATGCCTTCTACACCAGACCCTGTGGGGCCTCGCCATAACACAACATCTAAGGGGACACGCCCTGTTCAAGGAGGTTTAGCTCCCTGAAGTCCATCTTCGTGACAGAGCCCTGCCTCTGAATGGAATGAACATCTAGGTGTCAGCTGGGCATTATGGTGAGGTCCCCACGTTACAGGCTATTTCCCCTGTGTGGCAGAAGGAAGCCCCTTTATTATATATCTGTATCTATATCTATCTATATATATATATTGTCATCAGAGCAAACCTGTGGGAGAAGATGAGGTCAAAGAAAGGTGGAGGAAAAAGGATCATATAAAGACAATTTTACCTTTCTGAAAAAAATGTTTTCAATTAGTTGTTTCACCTGAGAGTTAGTAAGACTGATACTGGCAAAGTAACTAGTGATGTTATAGTATGATATCATAGAATAATTATATAGTTTAAAAACAATGACCTATGTAAGAATGCTTAATACATTTAAAAAATACACAGGAGGGAAAAAGGGAGCTATTTAAAAAGGAAACTCACCATATTCCCTTTAAACACCATGAAATGGGGGTGGCCAAGTGGTACAAGAGCCATCGCTCGTTTAACGAGAGGCAGGAGAGCAGTTTGTTACAAGCGAGCATATGGAGGCAGGCCTCCGGGATTTAACTGCTTTCCACCCCCAACTGAATGACCAGGGCAGGTCACTGAACCTCCCTGTGCTTCACTTTTTTCATTTATTAATTTGGATAGTACTTTTTCGCATTTAAGAAGTCCCTAACTGTAAGCAGTATGTTATGCACCACTAAGAAAAACTGCTGCCAATTACAACTGTAAGGTGTCATGTTGCAAGACACAGCCCTGAGTTTAGGAGATGACAAAATGGAAAAATTGTCTCTGCATCTATGAAACACAGAGGTATCTACCTCATCTATGCCAGTCATGCTTAGGATGGCGTCAGGTCCATGGAAGAACTGTATGTGGCTTAGGCAGTGCCATTCTTATTACTGCTCCATTCACTTGTTACTGATGACGCAGCCAACGCTGACAGACTCAAGGCTGGCAGGGCCTTGTCTGAACTGAATTCTTAGTTTTTCTAATATGAATAAACTATGGACCGCACATAGTCACCTCCATCCTCACTGGTTCATACTTACCTTACATATACTTTTAGAAAGTAAAATGTTAATGGAACACTATATCCGGGTGACACAGGCTAAGCTATACAGTTCTGAAGAGTGCTATGATGATTGCTACCACTCGTGATTTCTTGCAAAAAGCATGTCAACACTCACCATTATTGCTATTAAGTATATGATATATTTGGCCAATCACAATCTTTTTCCAGTGTTGGCAACAACAAATTTCCTGTTACTTTCTTACTTTTCTTTGAGCCAAAATGATAACAGTAAGTGACTTCCCACTCGGTCTCAGTAACCACCAGGAACATGAGACTGACTCGGGTGTTTGTGACTCTAGCACTTCAGGTCGTATTATACATAGTCACTCATTTATTTCTTAATAAATCCCTACTGAGCTACTATGAGTCACGTGCTTCAGGAAATCCATACTGAAATTACAGTGTGAGGAATGCTACCAGAAACATGGCCGTGGAAAGCTTGGACCTGCAGGTTCAGAGGTGAGAAGACAATGTTTTCAGAGTTATTAAGTTGGTTTTTAGCTAGTTGGTTTTTATTAGTTGGTTTTTAGTTAGTTATCTAGCTACTTTCCTAGATGTTAGAGAAAGGAAACGCTATGTCTATAACCTTCACACACATTTGCTTAATGCGATGCTCCCTTTAAACAGAGTTTGGGAGGCTATTGAAGAATTTTAGAATAGGAAAGTACCTTTACAAACTGGTCCAGCTTCTTCATTTTTGACATAAAGAAAGTGAAGACCAAAAAAGGTTAAGAGAGTTTTCTGACATTTCTATCAAATGTTTACTAAGCGTTACATGTTATATGCTGGCAACTGTGCTAGCAAATGGGTACGAGGAACACTGAGATGGGTAAGAAGAATGGGTTCTGCTCTCGAGAATGCTTATCCTGTCAGGAAAAACACACATAAATCAAGCTCAGCAGAAGAGTGTGGTAAGTGTGCTGTTAGAGCTTGGGGCAAGTACACCACACAGAGATGAGGAAACAATGGATTTCGCCTTGGTGGTGGGAGGACCAGGAAGGCTACAGACAGGAGCTGACACTTGTGCTGTACTGTGCAGGTTAAACAATGAGGACAGCAGGCTGTCTCAAAAATCCCTTCCTTATCAATGGTCAGTCACTAAGACATTGTTATTTATGGGAAGGACAACATATGGGAGGTGCAACAGAAGAGTAATGAATGACTCACTGCAGCAGTAATAGCCAAGATTCTTTCTCTTGGCATCCAAATACCCTCTTCCCCTTGAGATAGCACTCTGGCTTCCATGACGACGGTGATAAAGTATACTCCATTACCTAGAAGAGGACCTGCTAGACATAATAAGCACTCAAATATTTGTTGATTGGGTGAGTAGGCACTGACATTTATGTAATTTTCAACTTGTCTCCCAGAATCTGCCACCCTTTGCACTTTATCACATACAAGTGCAAAACTCCTTCCTTACAGAAACCAATAAACTTAAATTTACAAATAAATCTGTATTTTAAAAGGTTCTCAGTGACATGCTTTTTTGCAGAGAATGTTCTCCTAGAATCCTTTAAGTTTCTGAGGTTTTCAAGTGTACACGAAAAGGAATACTTTGTATAAGTCCAGGTTCGCTTTTTTGCTCAACCACCTGAAATCACTTCTTTCCTCGTCCATGGAAATCTTATCTTCAGGCTCATCTAGTTCATGCTGGCGTCCTAGCTCCTCTCCTGGGTCCCTTAAAGTGATCAGCGCCCATGTCGCCTACTCTGTCACTAAATTGTTCTTAGAGTCATGCCCTACACTGCTGGGCTGTGTGAATCTTGAAAATAGGATACATTACATGCTTCTTTTGTGTTCCCCGTACCCAAGCAGACACTTAACACAGAAATAAAAATATATAATTAAAGGGTACTTTTGATTATGCATGTGGTATTTACGAAGCTACTCAGGAACTTATTTATGTCACGTTTTTCTTAGGTATAGAGACAATCGCTCTCCCTTTCACCACTGCCCCCCAACAAAGTATGATAGATTTTGATTAAGCAAATAGTAAATAAGAGTTAAAAGATATTGTACAACACAACGTACTGTGTCAATCTATGGTATTATTATTTCTATTAAAAAATTCAGCTGTCAGGGCATTTATATTGTGAAAAGGATAGTATATGCCTGCTGAGCATTACACAGGGGCTGAGAGACCAGTAACTAATGCAGAAAGATTTAAAATTTGGGCCAGAGCTCCATTATGTGATCCCAGTGTCAGCTACTATGGCAGCAGCAGTATTGTACTCAAAGGGCAATACTTCAGTAATGCATGAAGAAACTGGGTACTGAGACTGCCACAAACTCAAGCTCCAGTATAGCTGGCACAGGGTAACATAGAGTATAAGCACTATACTGATATCAAAGAGGGAATAAACACAATTAAACACCGTGAAAGATGGCCAAATAAGAACCTCTAGCTGTCCACTTGTTTCTGGGGAAGAAACAGTCAGGCAGGAAGTCAGAGCTCCGACATTACTCCCTGATATACCTGAAGTCAGCTGTGGCTGCAAAGGATTCCATTTCTGTAATAGAGAAGACACAGAGGAAGCCCTCCCCGCTCCGGAAGTAGTTGTCTCTAATCGCAGCATAGTCCTCCTGCCCAGCTGTATCCAGGATATCAATCTGTACTTCCTCCCCATCCAGCACCACCTTCTTCCGATAGCTGTCTGCTTTGGTAGGCTCATAGTCCTCCACAAACTAGAAAAGATGAAAAGCATATCCATTTTTAAATTATCTTTACTTTTCAAAACTTTGGATTTTGAAAAAAAATAGATTCACACGAAGTTGCCAAAATAGTACAGAGAGGTCCTGTTCCCTTCATTCAGTTTTTCTCCAAGTAAAAACTATGTTAATTAAATGTTCTTTTAAATTTTTTTTCCATTCTTTTATTAGTTTCAATTGTAGAAGACAATGTATTAGACATTTCCACCCCTCACAAAGTGATAACTCCCCTCCCCCAATAATCTACTACCTCTCCGACATCGTATATAGCTGGTACAATTTCACTGACTCTACTCCCTATGCTGTACTCCACATCCCGTGAATACATATATTAATTATAGTTGACAATAAATATTATTCAGCTTCAGGTGTACAGCTTAAATTTTCATTTTAGACAATTTG